CTCTCCTCCCTCATTGAACTCTGAGGAACTTTATCAAACCCAAGCAAAACCTGTGCTGTGAATTCCATTCTGTGCCAAAAATTCCAAGTCAGAGGAAATAGTTGAAAAGGATTTACCGCCAAACAAACACATACGTCCAAGGAGCCACGGGGGAGGCACAGAACTCACAGGCCCAGGACCCCTCTTCTCAACCGCCTGCTTCTGCTGACCCGGCCAGTTCAGCTCCATTTCCTCCCAGCGCTGCCTGAGTTCTCCTAGCAGGACCTTGACAGCAGAAAGAGTCCCATCCGCTTCCACTCCCGGCCTCGTGGACTTGGGCTCCCTGAGTCTGATCTGACCGGCAGAAAATGGGCAGATTCCTCATCACTGAGCCTCACGCTCTTGGGAGGAAAGGTGTTCTGCTCAGGACTTGGCTGAGCTCCTGCTGGGCGCCCTGGGCAGTTAGTTACTCAGAGTTGACAGACAGAGGCCGTTTGTCTGGCCAGAGATGCGAAGGGGCCGGCGAGCCTGCCATGCGCGAGGCACCTCTGTCCTCAGGAAGCCTCCCTTCTGACCCGGCTCACGGTGGCCGTTCTACGTGGGGGCCTGGCCCACCAAGGGTCGCTTTGGACCCTGCATCCCTCCACTGTCCCACAGGAGCAGTGACTCTGTGTGTGTGTGTTGTACTCAAACAGTCAAAAAAAAAAAAAAAGCAGAAGGCTTCGACAGATTTCCAGGAAACAGACTGTTAGTCTAGACTAGTAAATCCCAGCCAATATAATTTTGAATTTGTGATTATTATTCTGTATTTCTTTTGTATGTAAGCCTCCCTAAAAAAAAAAAAAAAAAAAGAGTAAAACCATGAGAAAAACTAGGTATCTGCGCTAAGTTTTCAAATGACCAACCAATGTCAACTGTAGCATTCTGATGGCAGAGAGTTAAATACCACATGTCCCTTATCCACCGGGGTGGGCTTAACTCAGCTCTTAGTGGACAGAACTCTGAGCACAACCCTTTCCATGCAAGGAGCCACCGACCCGGCTCGTGTCAAGTGAATCATGTTTCCGTGGAATCATGGCTTTCCAATTTATTATAATTGGGGAGTTTACATCTCCTGTCCCTTCCCACTCACGCCCGGGGCATCACCTACCATCTTCCTGCAGAGTTCCAAGGCGCCCCAAGTCTTACACGGCTGCTTCAGGCACCAGGCCTTCCCTGAGCACCCCGCACCAGAGGCGTCACCTCTCACCACCCCCGCAACAACCAAGGCACTCTCTGTCATCGCCACTTTATTTACTCTATTCCGTCTCTTTTGTGTACTCATCACACGATCTGGGGTTTGTTTGGGTGATCATTTCTTTCCTCTCCCTGCTCCAGAGTGAGGGTCCTGGGAACAGGGATTCTTGCCTGTTTGGTGACTACTATAGCCTCTCCGTTTAGACTAGTGACTAGGAAGTAGTACGTACTTAGAAATTACTTTATGGGGTAGCGAGTCCTTTTTTAGAAGGGTAATTCTGGTGACAGTGTAGAGGGCACCACAGGGACACTTAGGTTGGGGATGGGCGGGACAAGGGCAAGAGCGATGGGGACAGACAGCCCAGAGGCCTGGCAGCCTATCCCAGATGATTCATGTCCCTTGAGAGGGAAGAGTTAGGTTTTCCTGGCTGGCGTTCTTGGTGTTGGCTGCATCGCAAGCCTGACTTCCTTCTCTGGCACACTCTTTCTGTCTCACTGTAACTGCCACCTGCTCATAGAGGCCTGTGGAAAGTGGCTCTCCAAAGACTTGGTACTACCAGCGACGTCCCGAGGTCCGGACACTGAACACCCTGAGCATTTCAAGGTCAGCACTGAGGTCATCAGGCAGTGAACTCCCACCAGGCAGGAGTTTGTCTCAGCACTTGGCACATAGTAAGTGCTCAGTAAATAGTTACAGAATGAATCAATACATGGTTTTCCTTCGGTTTCTTTTGTTTTCCCATTAACTTGTTTTTCTCATTTGATGTTGCAGTTGTATATGTTCTTTTCTTTTGGCTGTGAGCACTTAGAGCGTTTGTCTTTGAATGACTTGTCTGTTTTAGAAGACAGGTGCCAGGTGCTGATGCTGTCGACGTACAGGTCAGATGCCTCCCTTCCTCCCCCGCCACAGCTTTCTGGGCAGGTTTGACTTGGAGGATGTCCCTGCCATGGGACTCTGCCGTCGATTCAGAAATTCATCACAGAGAGGCTTTGGGTAGGAGAAGAGCTCAGGTATAAAATCCTGAGAGTTTACTGACTCTAGTCACTAGTCCAAGACAAGCTCACAGGACAGGTGGCAGAGGAGGGTGAGAATTCCGATGAGCTCTATTTAGTGCTTACTGGGTGTGCGAAACTGGTCTATGCCATGGGGGACACTTCCATGCTGAAACGTGCCCCTAGGGGAAGGGGGCTGTTGGGGAAATGGCGCCCCACTTCAGGGCTACGACATCAGGACATACAGATGGAGAAACCATGGAAACAGATGTGACACCTGGTGGACAGTTGGCTTTGGAGCGCCTGTGATCAGGCTTGAGATTTTAGGAATCATGAGGGTGACAGCAAACCTCCAGAAAGGCGACATTAAAGGAGGAGAAAGGACCCGAATCATTAACGGAAAGCATCACAGTGCAGATTGTATTCACGGAGGAAGGACGCGGACTGGTGAACTCTTCTTTTCTAACAGCGGCACGAAGGGCAGAGTATGTGTAGCCCACCTTAACTGGGGTCTCAGAACCCTCCGTCCCCGTAAGGAGCGTGTGGCAAACACCCACCTTGTCCTAGCACTGTGAAGACTGCGCCAGCCCACGGCGATGTAGCTTCACTTTCCCGGGTAGCCCAGGTGGTGAAGCTGGTCCTCGGTCCAGGATTCAGAACAAACTCTTAGCTCCGAGCCTCTGCACACAGCCTGGAGGTGGACCAACAGCTGTAGGAAAGGACAGGAAGCTCTTCCCACACAGGAGAAAGGAGGCAGGGCCTTGAAGCCAAGATGCCTTTGCCTGGAGGCCCCTTCGCGAGACCTCGGGGTTGGGTTCGGTACTGCTACCCCTCACTTCCCGTGTGGACCAGGAGCACAGAGAAGCCCAGCAGCTTCCTCAGCAGCCTCATGGAGCCAGGACTCCAGCTCAGGGCCTTTTCTGCAGAGTTTGGGAGTCAAGCCACCACACTCTCTGGCCTGGCCATCGGGGACATCTCCCACCTGGCCTGGTGGTGAGCTGGTGGCTAAAACCCCACACCTGGGTTGAACACTCGGCATATAGATGAGCCTCTCCTGAATTTCCCAAATGCCAAATGAATTTTAACGAGCTTTTAATATAAAATTGACCTTTATTGCAATTACAAAAGAACAAAGACAATTTGGTAAGTGCCTTTAATTACAATGTACCTGCTATTTACATGTAATTATACTTTATACATAGCTCGAATAAGGTCCATTACATGTAAACGATAAGATATTAGAAGTTAAACTCCAGCTTTTTTAGAACATTCAGAATAAAAATACTACAGGCAGAAACACAGAAAACAATAACCATATCAGTCCTTAGGTACCATTATTGGATAAATGATCAAGGCCTGGTCGAGAAGAGAGTTGTAAATATGCATTCAATTGAAACTTACTCCTAACATGACTAACAGTATTGCTATTGTTTGAGCCCTAAACATAATAATTGAATCATTAAAAACAATACATCAATTTATATAGCACCTTCCTACCAGAGTTCAAAGCATTGGTATTTCTCTATATTATCTCCTTTGTCCCCATAACATCCCTATGAGGTAGGCAATGGTTGGTATCATCCTCTCCATTTTTTATATGGAGAAACTGAGGCACAGAGAAGTTAGTTCATTTGTTCAAGGTCACACAGAAAAGTAAATGCTGGAACAGGGAACACAGAGCTGTGGGCTCGTCTCCAAACCAATGCTTCTCTTTAAATGATCTCCTCTGAGAATTTGATGTAATACCTCAATTCACCTTTTCAAGAAATAAAAAATGTGCATTTTTTTCTCCCATAAAAATTGCTGAAATATACTATCCGCAAGAAACACACACTCTGGGGCAGATGTTGACTGATGCTATACTCTTCTAGAAAGAGTTTATGGAAGTCTTCTGTTGGGTTTGTTTTTCTGTTAGAAGGGATTTCTTTGCCCAGTGAAAACAAAGTCAGAAGTCTTTACATGAAACATTTGAAAGGATGGATCTAGGGACCTAGATCTAGTTTTATTAGCCATATTATGCTAGCCACAAACCAGGTTGATTCCTGAGTTAATGTAGAAGAAAATCTCTAAACAACAGTTCAAATCTTTGAGACAGATCTCATCTGTACACACGTTCAGCTTGCTCCTTGAGAGACAGCGTGGTGGATGGGAGTGGGGATAACGCCTTTTCCGGACACACAGACACACAGGGGCAGGAAGTCTGGCCTGCATCACTTAGTTCAGATTTTACTTCTGATCCTGCCCAGCCTGCTGCCCAGAATCAAGGATGTAGTTGGTACCCAGAAAAAAAAAGAAAAAAAAAAAGAAATCGAAAACTTGTCAAAGTCTGAGACATACAGACTCTCAAATGCTTGTTGATGTGAACACAAAGTTCAGCTTCCCTGACATTTTTCTCTGCCCTCCCTCCGCAGCCAGCACTGTGCTGCCGCCCCCAGGCACCGGGAGTGGCCGGGAGTGGCCGGGAGTGGCCGGGAGCAGCCCCAGGAAATGGCTTTCCAGTGTGGCTCCTGGAAATGCAAGAGAAGCCTGTGTTAAAATATACATTGTAAAAAAGTAAACAAGTTATGGGGTGGTCCCGAATACCTGTCAGGTTCATTTACGGGTTTTACATTAAAAATACGTAAAGCCCTGGATGGTCTGGCTCAGCGGTCACAGCGTCATCCCGAGGACTGAAGGGTCTTGGGTTCGATTCTGGTCAAGGGCACATACCTGGGTTGCAGGTTTGATCCCCAGCCCCAGTGGGGGTTTTTCATGAGGCAACCAATCCATGTGTCTCTCCCACATCGATGTTTCTCTCTCTCCCTCCCTCCTTTCCACTCTCTAAAATGTCAATGGAAAGATATCCTGGGGGGAGGATTAACGACAACAACAAAAATACATAAAGACTTGTCAAAGGAATGTTCAAAGTCCCTTACAGACAGGCTCAGGCCTTCGGTGTCAGTCTCCTGGGCTCGGGAAGGTCACTGCTGTCTACCAGGGACACCTCTCCTACCTCAATGGGGACCTAAAGTTAAAAAAAAAAAAAAATCCTCTTTACGCTTAAGAAAGAAAAAGTAAAGAGTTTGTTTAAAACTCATGGTTTCCAACTTGTTGAGTTAAAAACAAAACAGACAAAAGCAGACATTATGACCAGACAGTTTTGGAGTGCAGATCCTAGGGGCCCAGGCTGGTCCCTCTTTTTGCCTTAATTGTCCTATTAAGGGTGATGATCTGGCATATTGGATAAAATTAAATGGATAAAGACAATGAGCAGCTATCTGTTCTGTTAATTCAAGGAAGAAAAAAAAAATTATACTCCAGAACACCCATTGAAATAATTAACTATGGTGTTAAGTTCACTTAGAGTGAACTTCAAAAAATCAAAACTAGACAAAACTATAAAAAATAATGGTGGTGGATCTTAGGTGTCCAGACCCTCAGGCCCTGCCACTGCTCACCTGGGCCAGGCCTAACGGGGGCCTGGTTTCTCACTCCAAACACCAGTTTGCCTAGCAAAGGCCAGGTAACTCCAGCCAGATGCTGGAACATTCTCGGCGCCTTGGGGCCCGGGAGAGCAGCTCAAACTGAGTGTGACGAACACAACTCACAGGAAGAATTTCCCAGGGGAAAGGGGGCTATAGCTCTCTGGCTAAAACATGGTACACTCGATTTGTTTTATAAAAGATTACTTTTTACAAGAAAGGGGTTTTTCCCCCTTAAAATAACCAGTGTCCTACTTAATGGGAACTTATTGGTCTGCTGTCACCAGAACCTTGGGAGCCACAGGGCTGGCTCGGTGCATCATGGGGGATGGGGAGCTCGCCTGGTTAAAGCATGGTCGTGGTGAGCATGTCCCTGCATTTGTGAGTATGAGTGTACAACGGAACTTCATAAAACTTCTTTTTATGGCCCCTTAGCACCAATCATTCTCATGACAAATGCGGGCAAGTATGTACCTGGTTGAGAAAAGCTCAAGACCAAGATCACCCAGCATCTGTGTTCCCGGGCAGGTCTGTGGCTTTACCTGGGCAGCCTGCAGGGCAGGAAAATGAGCTGGGCGGAGCTGTCTGCTCACCTGGCAGTGGGGACAGCTCTATGCCAGGAGGCAGAGGCCGTGATTGGTATTGGAGAAGACAGACAAGATAGGACATCCTGGGAACAGCAGACTTGGAGGGGCTAGGGTGGGGAAGGGGCCCAGGGGTCATGCTGTGCAAAGGGACAGAAGACCACCTATGCAGGAATCCAGGGGAGGCCGGTGGGAATAGTGCCTTCCTGCCCACAATCTTTACACCAGAGTCAGGGAGGGAAAAACTGTAAGTTGTGGAAGCCAATACGAGACATTTTTGGAGTAAAACTAAGGTTCGAAAATTCCCAACACTGAAAACAACTTTCCCACTCATTTGTGAATTGGACAATTTGACCATGACAGAGACCTTTTGAAACACTGAGTCAAAATGCCACTCAGTGTCACAAATTTTATTTGAGTAAAAGGAGTACCTTGAAACAGATCAGGACCACCTAGTGGACAATAAGTCACTTTTTGGGAAACTATTTTTATGAGGAAAAAAATGCATAAACAATAAATGCAAAATTCCTATTTGTTTAGCTATATTTCAATCTTCCCCTGAACATATGAGGCATGTCATTACAACACAATTATTTAAAAGGTAACATTAAAACATTTACTGTTGTCACTTTAACATATAGAAGTCTGAGGAATAACAAACCAGCCTTTATAATCCATTACACAAGGTGATCTGAGACGCTCAGAGTCCTATATTCTTTAAAAAATACCCAGAGTATATAAGTGGTGAAAAAAAATGTAATCTAACCACATTAAGATAAATAAGTACCAAACTGAATGCTTTAAAAACATTGCCTTTTTAACAAAAATCACATTTCTCATTTTATCTGGCATGAAGAAGAATCTGAACTACCACTTCTCAGTTAAATAAAAGAAGAACCTTGAAAAACAATGAAATACTTCATAAATATTAGACACTGGATGTAAACACAGACTTAAAATGAGCAGTAGGGGGAAAAGCACTTAGGAATGTTTGTTCTCTTCTGGACCATGATTTTGTTTAATTTACTTTGGTAAGTCCATATGAAGACTCCAATTTATCATGGTTTCTGGACTGATCTCTAAATCAAACACTTTCAAAGTGTGTACAAATTGTTTAACGCCACAGTAAAAAACAATGTATCGAAGAAAAGGTACAATACAGAGCAAGAAAATACTGCCACAGGACCAGGAATTTTGATTCCATTGCAAATAAAGCCGCATTTGATATTACAGACACACGTTCCTATTTTCACATCAGTCACTTATTAACAGCAAACATTATACTTTAACTTTGCCCAATTATACAGCACAACGAGCATGTCAAGATTTCCAGGAAATTACCATCAGTACCTGCTGGGCTTCCAGCGGCCCGAGTGAAGCTGGCCGGGCACCAAGCATCAACACTTCCAGAGGACTGGCACCCCCGGATCCCATGGAGTCATGCTATGACAAGGAGCACCAAAAACTGGCAATGACTCATTTACCAAGTCCCAGCGCAGTCTTACACTGAGCTCCGTGATTACAGCCGGTCATCAGCACACAGCAGTTACTTCACACACCAGAGCCCACCACTGCCTGCAGATCCTGTGGTTTCTGAAGACAGTGCCAGCAAACAGCCCCGCGGGAGAACCGGCTCGGCTGCTACCGGGTGGGGTTACCTTGCTGTGGCCCCGTCCCGGCTCACGCGGCTCGGTAGCTCTTGGCCAGATCTCTTCGCCAACACCTGTCTGAGTCACATGGATGATACAACTATTTAAAATACTACTGCTGTTCAGCTAAAAAAATTATGGATGCAATTTAAAAATCTGAATTTATTCATTAGAAAAATTAAATGAGGGCAACTTGAGAAGGTTTTCCTATAAATACCAAATGAAAACTATTGGACAGTTGTTGTTTCTGTTCTGCCTTTATGATGATAGTCTTCACTCTAGTAAAATAAACATTCAAAATACAAAATAGGATAATAGGATATATCCGAAGCACCAGAACATATATATGTGTATATGTATATATGTGTATATGTGTGTGTGTGTGTATATGTGTATGTACATATATATATAGTTTGTTATTGGTTAAAGTTATTAAGTGCTCTAATTAGAAAAATGAAAATCAATTATGAGCAGCACAGATAGTGACACAGAGGTTGAGTTTTATTTCTTTGTTTTGACTACATCTTGCTAATTTGCTCTCAATTTGAGTTAACTTTTGTATTTTGAGGGCAAACAAATCAGTAATTTGCCTTTTCCCCACAAGGAGAGCAGTACCTTCAAAAGCTTTACTGAACTAATGGTGTAATTTAGTGCAGGGCAGGGTATGAATATGTGTGGAAAACATCTATAAAAATAACTTTTTTCTCTAATTTAAAATTCCCTCAAACATTTCACATAAAACAGGTTACATGTTCCTGCTGATTGTATTTGAAAATAGTAAAAGCATCACAAAACAGTCTAAACGTTAAGAATATCTGAACAAAGACAAAGATCCTATTTTTAGGCAAGGTAAGCTTATAATTCTGATTTAGGAGACAAAAAAGTTTTCTAAAAATTATTTTTATCTTTCTGTATAATTTTACACAACCTAGGCTATTGCAATTAAATGCCTGATGTGTATGTCGAAGTTGAATTTTAAAGATATAGTAAATTCTTTTTTATTTTTAATAATTACCTTTCATACGTTTAAACTGTAGCATTTAACTCAAGATGAAACCCTTTTTGAAAGAAGCTGTAGATATTTGTCTAATTCAAAGATTGGAGCACAGATTTTTAACAAATACAGTGAAAGTGATGGTATTTATGAAATACTGAACTATAAGGTCAAAAGAGTGATACATCAGTAAACAGCCCTCACTAAGGTGCCAGTGGTCTACAGAACAGACATCTATGCCCAGCCATGCCCCGCCCCCACCCTCCTGGGCTCTGCTGTCACTTATCTTGGGCCTGTATGGGGGACCTCACAGCTCCTTTCAAAGTGCACTTACAACACTTTATATCCCAGCTTATTCTTAGCACTGGATCTCGAATCAAGAGAAAGATTCCAATGTGCGCTCTCCAGGTATATTGCACAGCCTGCATTTCAACACTTCTGTGGGAAACGCTGATTATGAAATTTCAAGAGGATATGACTATTTATAAAGAGATTCTCTCTCCAGAAATGGTTTTACACTTTAGAGATGGTACCCACTTTCTTGGCAATACATGAGGCATCATGAAATACAATAAAGTGTTGGGCGGTCAGGCACTCAAGAAGGACGTGGCTGCTGTGGGCACAGGGCTGGGTGGGCCATGTGACAGGGCTGTCACCATGCACTAAAGAAACCCCACGACACAGAGACGGTTGTTCAAACTCAGCTAAGCAGTGAAAAGCACCAGGCAAAACAGTGCTCACAAGAGATGTGAATTCAGAGGGCAAGGGTCTCGGGCCAGCCTGAGACGTTCCCTAATGTAAGGTGTTCTGCCACGATCTTCTAAGCAATGGTGACTGTCCTGCACACCAAGTCCTGATGCGAGAGACCAGGCTGACTGAAACGTATTTCTGAGCAGTCACAAATCAAACAGGGAGTTCGAGGGACGGGAAACACACCAGTGAGCAGCGAGGCCCCACGATTTTGAATGCTCCCCTCTCCCAATGGCATTCTCTGTCATAATGAATGACAACAGCAAGATGAGGCAGTCTGAAAAGTCACCGATGTCACAGTGGTGTGGAATAATTGCCTGTCTTCCCTTGACCTAGAGCCCACGCCGACCAACAGCACTTCAACCAGGCTCCTCTTAGAATGAAAGTGAACAAGTCCCCAGAGTTGGCCTCATACTGTCTAGAGAGATGATTCCATTCAAACCAGGCTGATTTCTCAATCCAAGTTACTACAAACACTGATTTTTGTAAACTGAAGTGGGGGGGAGGGGATCCCAAGAGACAATTTGCATTTGTAAGTACTGGATTACAGAGTTCATCACTATTTTCTTCAAAATGGAACCAAATCTTAGGAGTGATACTTTCATGAGGATTATAATTTGCAGTCACCCTCAGTCATATTTTGTTCTTTCCATTTTTACCATTTTGAATTTTTCAATATTCCCCATCACAAACCACTAAAAATGACCATTTATGGTTATTCCACTGAGCTACATGGTTTTGACCAAGAGCCCAAGTACCATTGGAAAAGCCTGAGTCTTTAAAAACCTTCAATGTTTTAAACACTGGGGTAGAAAAACGATAGTGACCACTTGTAACTACCTAGTATATGTGCTTTACGTTGTCTTTTCAAAATGACAGTATAAATCATTGTACGTAAAATCAAAATAGTTAATATACATTTTTTTCTGGCACTTTCTAGAAATTAGGCGTTCAACGTAAAACATCTTATAAATTTATATAACAAAAATAAATGTGTACATTTTCATCTCAGCTAGAGTACCTTAGGGCAGCAGTTGACTTCGGGGCCCACACTGCTGGTGCGGCGCACAGATCATCAGAAACACACGTTCAGGTCCACAGCCCTTTGGTGGCAGCCGGTATGGGCAGCCCAGACGAGTTCTGGGGGAATGGGCTCTGGGCTCAAACAAGTATAGAAGAACCACAGCGTTCACCGCAAATACTGCAAAGGTTCTGAAGTTTCCAATACGGGGGGCAAAAACGTTTTGGCTAGAAAAATAAAATAAAGCATCTAAAAATGATTTCACGTCCTTTGGGAGAAGCTGCTGATGTGGCATGCCCGGATCAGAAGGCACAAAGACCCAAGACCCTCGGGGGGTGCCCCCAGGAGACGATGGGCGATCTAACAGTATCAGCAACCGCGGTTTCTCGCCATCTGAAAACATCAATGTTGAAGACAAAGGCCAAGCCCTGTGGGCGAATTTCCTTGGCAGGAACCAGTAGAAATGGGAGATGTCAAGGGACAGGAGCAGACAGCCAGCCACAGGGAACGGAGGAGGGACAGTGGCTCTTCCGAAGGGCAGTATTTAGGCAGGTGGAGGCGAGGCTCCTCCTCTGACAGCTGGGACCCGTCCTGAGGACACGGGGACACGGGGACATGTGCTTGGGTGTGGTAGTGCCTGGCAGGCAGGGTACACAGGGCTCAGCCAGGTTTGCCCCTTTCAGTTCCCAGAGCTGAGGAACCATCCCGGCGTATTCGCTGCCCCCAGCCACTGAAGCAGAATGTGGCGTGGAGGGGACAGCATTCCTTGTCTTCTTGTCCCCGAGTGGCTGGTCCTAGGCTGTCGGGCTCTGTCTTGTGGGCTGCTAGAGCCTGGTGACATCTCTGCATTGTTGCAAGTCCCCAATGCTCTCATAGTCATTCTCCTTTGGGAAGGGGCCATGGTGGCCATTGGTCCCCAGGGTGGTCTTTTCATCCTCTCTGCTCAGAGACTGGATGGCCTCGTAGTCGGGTTCGGGCTCCTCCCGGGGTCTCCCTGCTGGTGTGAGCATGCTGCTGCTGCTGGGAGTCTTCTCGAAGTCTTTAACAGTTGCATAGAGGTCATTACAGGAGGATGGGGACCTCCGAGCAGCCCCTGGGCTGGAGGTGCCGCTGGACTCGGGCGCTTTGAGCAACTGTCCTGATTTATTCACGGACTGACCAGGTTTATTTACAGACGAGTACATGGCTGAGATCTAGAAAACAAAGGGTGAAGCCAATAAAAACACTTCAACCTTAATCTCCCTCCACCCTTTAGTGACAAGCTAGATCCTTAGCACTACAGTGTGGGTGTGTCCCTTTAAGAATTTGGTCCTGATTCCCACCCCCCAGCTTACTGATATAATTGACATATAACATATTTAATTTTAATGTGTACAACATGATCATTTGATACATATCTATGTTGTGAAATGACTACTACAATAAGGTTACTTAATACATCTATTACCATGTTACCATTTTTTGGGTGTGGTGGTAACATTTAAACTCTATTCTCTGAACAATTATGAGTATATAATATAGTACAATATTGTTAACTCTAGTCCCACGTTGGACAAGAGCTCCCAGAACTTGTTCATCTTATAGTTTGAAGTTTGTACCCTTTGACTAACATCTCCCCATCCCCCTCCCAACCCCCCAGCCCCTGGCCACCACCAGTCTGCTTTCTATGTCTGTGAAATCAGCTCTTGTTTAGATTCCACATATATTTGAGAACATAAAGCATCTGCCTTTCACTTGGCTGAATGCCCTGAAGGTCACAAGTGACAGGACTTCCTTCTTTTATAGCTAAGTAATATCCCATTGTATATGCATATTTAAATACTTTACATATATATTTTGCATATATATAAAATCACATTTTCTTTATGCATTCGTCCATTGACACTGAGGTTGCTTCCAAATCATGGCTGTGTGAACAGTGCATTAATGCATATGGGGGTGGGGGGTGGGCGTCTCTTTGAGACAGTGATAAATGTCCAGAAGTGGGTCTGTACTAATGCTGGAGCACATTACTAGAGAACAATGATAGAGGTCATCTCCAATTCTGTGAGTGGACCAGTCATGTTAGCACAATTCCATGAAAACCCTGTTCTCTCTGGTCTGCGTGAGAGTGGTGGGCGGGCAGCTCAAGGCCCCCAGGACTGACCACAGCACCGTGTGTTTTATTTCATTCCTGTATCAGGATCTCTCCCCTGCAAAGGGGCTCTACAGCTTCACAACAAAAGGCAGAAAACGTGTCAGACCAGTGATTCTCACACTGTGGGCTTCGCACCAGCGGCCGCAGGATCTGGATGCTCATGAGAGAGGCAACTTGTGACCCCAGAAGCACCGAGGCAGGAACTGGGGCCGGACCCGCAGTCTGTGGCCCACTGACGTGAGAACCGCTGATGCGCACCGTGGCCCCCTTCCCTGCATCAACACGGTCAGAGGCGGAGTCCTGGGCTCTGCCGGGCAGTACACCCGTATTTGTACCAGGATGATCTACGACTTTTGATTTCGTCGCATGCTGTTGGCTAGGTAAACACTGACAGACAGGGTTAAGTTTCTTCAGTGGGAATATTCATTCTTATTTGCAACCAGCCAACTCAAACAACACCGGACACAATCAATTACGGGAACCTCTCTCCTGCTGGAGGAGTAGCTGCCCTGCCAGCACAGCTGCTCAGTTCACTGAGACGTCGGTCGTCTCCAATATCGAGAGGGATGTGATTTTCACTGCTGATGGGAGAGGAGACGTGCAGATGAAGAGACGGTCTGGGGTATTATTTTATTGTTAGAAATCGTGGTCGGAAATAAGTACACATATCCTCCATCACTTGAACTTAGGTTGGCCTCAGTGACTGATTTATCCAAACACCCAGGAAAGAAATGAACACACTCCCGACAGATGCTCAGCTTTGCGAGTGCGGCGAGCGCGCTCCCTGCGTCCACAGCGCCCACGTGCTGTGGATGAAGCTCCAGCTGGCCTCACAGGCTTCCTGAGACCGGCCCGCCTCGTGCTAGCTGGTCATCAGCATGAGGAGGGCTGGCCACGGGCTGGGGCTCACCGCTGCAGGTCTGGACAACCCAAAGGGTTAGGCACAGGAATAATCTCTGGGAAAGTCTGGCCACGGATCTGACCATTCTGGTGACTATTTTCAATGAACATTCTCACCTTAAAGGTTTTAATGGGAAAATGACTCTCAAAGACATAACTTCTTTGAATTTAGGAAGAATAAAAAAAGTGTCTGCCTTTCATAGTGAAGTGCAAACATACGGAACTCTATCCAGAAAGTAGTCCCAGCCAGGATGTGAACAGATTAGAAAGGGGTACATCGTGGGTGCCAGTGATGAGGGAGCCGCATGCTCACCTTCAGGGGCACATCAGGACAGATGCACCTTTACCTGGATTGTAAAGGTGAGAACTGGCTCCTCACCACTGGTTCTCTTTATTTCCCCAATTTCCTTTCCCGTGGAAGAAACACTCTGTCTTAAAAAATTGCACACTCTTGCCCTGGCCAGTTTGGCTCAGCGGTTAAAGCGTCGGCCTGCGATCCAGAGAGACCCGGGTTCGGTTCCCACTAAGGGCGCGTACCTTGGTTGCAGTTTGTCCCCGGCCCAGGTTGGTTGTGCGGGTGGCAGCCACTCGATGTGTCCCTTTCACGTCGATGTTTCTCTCTCTCTCTTTCTCTCTCCCTCTCCCTCCCTCCCACTCTATCTGAACAAAAAATGGAAAAAAAAAAGTCCTCTGGTGAGGATAAAAACAAAAATTACACGCTCTTCCATTAACTTGCAACTTAATATTATCTCTGGCATGGACCTGACATACAGAGGGTGTCATTGTAAACTTTCTTACAGAAGTTTCTCACGTCTCCTAATACTCCTTCTGAATATTTGTTTTCTGTGACTATGATTTCTATTTTGTACACTAGGTTTCTCTTCAAGCCCTTAGCTTTGAATTTTTTCTCTTTAAAATTTATCTAGCTTTGTAAATTTTCTCTTTAAAATGTTTCAAATTTATTAGTCTATAAATTATGTTCTCATAAATTACTCTCTTTCTAGTTCCCATTTATCTGCTTTTGATAATCAACTTTTTCCCCGTCCTTCTGTTAAATTGGGGCAATAGTACTTCAAAGCCAGGTCTCAGTCTGTTTGGACTAACATTACACAAATACAGAAATACAAAATTTCCACATTTATTTTCCTTAAATCTTCTTCCTTCCATGAGTATCTATGAATCACAGTTCTTTATTTCATGTTAAAAATTCATCAGTATAACTAGGTCCCATTTTCAAAGGCCACAAACAAATGTAAGATAAGAAAAAAGTAATTTAAAATCCTACATGGTCTCGGTTTAATTTACATAAGATTTGTTTCCGGTCTCATATATGTTCTATTTCTTGTCCCCAAGGGGGTGGCCCTGGCAGGGGGAAGACGAGGAAGGCCGGGGGGCCGCCCTGGGCCCAGGCAGGAGGGAGCCTGGGGTGGAGACAGGGACGCATGACAGACGCTGGAGGTGGAATGAAAGGGGCCTGGCTACTGGCTGCATCTGCGGATGGTGAGGAAAAGGTGTCAAGGCTGACTCCTAGGGCTGTGGCTAGCTGGCAGGTCTATTCCCTGGGGAGGAGCCCTGGAGGGTGGGTGACGTCACCCTCGGCAAGCACTTCTGCTCCTGGAACTTTCCCTGCGGGCTCACGCAGAGCCCGTAGGAGGTGCCGCCCTGCGTCGGCACATTGCTTCTGTGCAGGCACCAACCTCCTGTGCTGGGCTGTCGGACAGCAGCTCCTTGCAGCGAGATCAGTGAAGGCACCCAGTGCTCTGCCCGAGCCTGGCTTGACATAACAACATGCGTACTGGCTCGTACAGTGTTCATGTTCCCCTGAAGCATGGCCAGAGATTTCTCAGCCCCGGTGCTGGGGAGAACCTGCAATCCGCTCTGTGTCTGGCCCGCCCAGCCTGGGGCTGCACGTCCTGAATCCCTGCTCTCCGCCTCCAGGATCCCTCACCGACACGGCTGCCTCAGTCCCCCCGGCTGCGTCAAATCCCCTCCACTTCCCCCCCATACTCCTGTTCCAACTTCCCGTGTTTTCCAACCCATGATGACCTTCCTCCTTACGTGGACTTCCGGACTGCCGACTAAACTCCCATACCTCCCTTCCTCTCTTCTCATTCCTCTTTCCTCCCCTCCCCTCTCCATTTTCCTGATCCTTCTTTCCTGGTTGGCTTCCTTTCCTTACTGACCTGCCCATCCCATCCGCCAGCCACTCCATCTGAGCCATCACAGAGCCAGCCCCGAACCCTGGGCCCCAGACACGCCTCACAGAGCATTTCAGTTTTGCAGACAAAGTGTCCGTGACAGCGCCGGTGGTCAAGGAGGGCTGTCCGGGCCTGACCACAGGAGCTTCCTGGGGATTAGAAAAGCTACGAGACTCACCTCTTCATCCGTGAGAGTCGGGTCTTCCTCTCGGGACTTGTACGACAGGGAACTAAATCTCTGTTAGGAGACAGAAACCAGGGAAGCTGGTGTGATGTTAACATCCCAACTTCCTTTTGTGTCTGTTTTGATACATCCATCTATACATGTTTTCAAATGACTTTTAGGAAATAAATGATTATCTACAATGAAATTATGTAAAGCACCAGAGGAATAAATGCATCGAAAATCTACTGTGTGATGTTTTTGGATATCCAGTTGTAGTAGAGACATTTCTTCCGATTTTTATTTGATTCTGAAGATACAGATAAGTCAAAGAGACTTACTGTTTCAGTTCTTAATTGCCACTGAAGGATTGATCATCAGTGAAGAATCGATGATAATAATAATAATGAAAAAAACAACATGGTGTTTCTTCATGGAATTGTGTATTTCTACAGTTTGCATGAGTCATCAGAAGGAGTCTTAAATTATCGGAAAACTTTTTTTTATTTTTTTATTTTTATCCTCACCCGAGGACATTTTCTCCATTTTTTGTTCAGGTAGAGTGGGAGGGAGAGAGGAAGAGAGAGAAAGAGAGAAACATCGACGTGAAAGGGACACATTGAGTGGCTGCCACCCGCACGACCAACCAGGGCCGGGGACAAACTGCAACCGAGGTACATGCCCTTAGCGGGAACCGAACCCGGGTCTCTCTGGACCGCAGGCCGACGCTCTAACTGCTGAGCCAAACCGGCCAAGGCTCGGGAAACTTTTTATAGCTAATGGAGAAATCAGCGCATACTGGGTGGTCTGCTCCCTGCCTCATTTCTCAGTGATTCTGGCCCCTGGTTCAGATTCTCTCTCTCACATCTTCTATCTAAATAAAAAATTTTCTGATTTCAATAAACATGAGTCCTTTCAAGCCCAGCCCTTTGGTTCCCTGACCTCCCGTACTGCCCTCCTCCACCTGACCTCACTGCTCACCTCCTGGACACAGACCAGACCCTCTCGTACCCCCAGCCACAGCCCACAGCTACCCACCGCCGCAACTCCCCGCGCCCCGCGGACCAGCACTCCTTCAGCGCTGGCTGTTGCTCCAACCCCCTCTCAGGGTCTGCTTGTCCGGTCACTCCGCCCTGCTCTGCGGAGCTTGGCCTCTGGGTCAGCGTCATCCTCACACTGCGAATGCTCAGCTCCCTTCCTGGTCACTGGCGAACGCAACCCTCACGGACAAAAGCTTACACTGCCCTGGCCAGTTTGGCTCAGCGGTGAGAGCGTTGGTCTGCAAACCAGAGTCCCGGGTTCGGTTCCTGCTAAGGGCACGTACCTTGGTTGCAGTTTATCTCCAGCCCCAATTGGGGTCGTGTGGGTGGCAGCCAGTTGGTGTGTCTCTCTCACATGGATGTTTCTCCTCCCCCCCCCCCCCGCTCTATCTGAAGATAAATGCAAAAATGTCCTCGGGTGAGGATAAAATAAATACACAAACGCTTAAACTGCGTCAGGCAGCACAAACCTGACACTCGTTTTATTCTCTTTGGGCAGAGGGCAGAACATTAGACTGTGTTTTTGTATTTTCCAACTATGTTCCCTTTCGTTGATGCTCTCGATAGCTAATGTCATGGATAATAAGAAAAGTGGGAGTATTACAAAGAATGAGTCACTTGCTGTAACCTATATATCCATAGCCAGGGTTCACCTTCTGACCGTGAACTCCGGACGGTTTCAAAGGCTACTACTGACTCACTAACCCCCACTTGGCCTTCCTACCAAAACCTGAGAAGCAACCTTGCTTTTCTGTGTAGAAAACAGAAACGAGATATCTGCCCCCTGAAGAAGGCTGAGCCTCACTGAAGCCCAAGGCGCCGGGCAGCTGGGGATTCCAAGCCGCCGGCCCCCCTCGAGTTGCCCGGCACACGGGAGGCTCACGGGTCGGGGCGCCGTTTAGAGTTCTGTTGACTATCTAAACGGGTCGTGCAGTTATTGTTTAGAAACTGCCGCAAAATAAAATCCTTTACTCGATTTATGTAAAAGTGCACACTTAATCCGACATGACCACCTGTGAGTTGGTGTCCTCGGACACACTCCCTGCTGTGATGTCTGGGACCTGGAGAGGACAGAGGTCGCCTCACCGCCGCAGGTGACAGCAGACGGAAGACACTACAGAGTGGCTGAGAGTCTAGTCTCTCCACTTAGTTCTTCAGAAGGAAGAAAACAGCACTTGGCCTCAAGTCGACATGATGTGAAAACTGGCAGGTATTCAGGTAAGGTACCGAGAGAGAAATAGTTTATAAACACGAGTGTTCGGTCTTTCCCTGCTTGGGGGGAAAAGGCCCAACGCAGCTTATACCAAAGTAGCACTCACCTTCCACCCTCCCTGGACGAGCGTGTGGAAAACCCCCCGACAAGGCGCCAGGAGGAGCCCCAGGACCCGCTCGGCTCCTGTCGGGCCGGCAGAGCTCACCTTGTTGGTCTCACTGGTCCCCTCCGGGGCGCCTTCCTCTCCTGCCTTCCTGTCTTCCTTCTGCTGCAGGTTCTCGTTCTCATCCAGAAGCTTAATGGGCACGGGCGGTGGGGCCTCCTCTTCCGGGTCCCGGGTAGGTCCCAGGACACTGTCTGCATTCACGCTTTGCCGGCACTTTTTGTTCCTGTCCACGGAGGCGTATTCGGCGAAGTCGGTTTTGCCCTCGGCCTGGGGCGCCGGGAGCTCCTTCAGAGCGGACGCCGCCTTGGCCCGGCTGCTGGGGCCTTTGCCGGGGGCCGCGGCCGTGGCCACCTCCTTGAGCTCCTTCACGGTCTCGTACAGGCAGTCCTCCACCATGTTCTCCTGGGACGAGCTGTCTTTGAGCACTTCATAGGGCCCTTCCGCCCCCACGCCCTGGTCCCCGTCCACGCTTCTGGCACTGGCCAGCGTGTCCACCGTGCTGTCGGGGGGGATTCGGGGCAGTTCCCGGCTCTGGTGACACTTTGGCTTCCCCGTGCTGTCCTGGGAGTCCAGCAGGTCGGAGGCTGAGGTCAGGACCTCCTCGTAGTGCTGCAGGCAGGCCGTGGCGCTGTCTTCTGAGACAACTAGACAGGAGTGAGGGGAGAGACAACCCGACAGTGTTATCACGGGGAGTCGGAAATCCATGATGTCAGAGAGCTTGTCTGTGTCTGCAAGTGACAGACGTTCGGATTGTTAGCCAACAGTCCGAGTCAACCGCGTCTTTCCACACGATGTTTATGTTGTCTGGTCCCCAGGGACTTTCCCTGCCTGCAAATGCTCCGGACCGGACCCTGCGACCAGAGGACAGTGACAGTCGTGGGGCCGCACCTGAAAACCTGGGCTCCCACAGGGGGCATTTCCCTGGCTCCCCTGGCTCCCCCAGTGGAGGGGGTACTTGGTGGCCCTCCCCTTTCAAAGGCTTTTGCTTGGCAGATGCCATGGGAACAATAGGGCAAAATGTGCCCTAAACCCATGTCTCAAAGAGAGCTCTAAAGGCCTTTCCATCACCCCGAGCCCTCACTTCACCTCAAATGAGAAAACCCAAACGTGAGATCCCCTACAGCCACAGAAATGCCAGGTGTCTGAGAGCCCGCCGCATGCCGGAGACGGGCGGCTGGAGGCCCTCAGCAGGGTGCCGCCCTCCCGGTGCTGACCCAGCCGGGACGGTCACCAAACCCAGTGTGTCCACAACACATTCCTGATACACAGGTATGAAGAGTGTGAGGGTACCTCAGTGTAAATGCAAGCTTAAATCCATATGCATACCTCACACACGTATTTACCTTGTATGCTAACATAGTCCTTGACATATGTGCATGTGTGTTTATAGCATAATTTTTAGCCCCCCCTTTTTACTGACTCTCTAGCTGGGGCCCAGGGAGGGTCTAACACATGGCAGGCACGATGATATGTTTTTGCCTGAAAAACTAAATGAGAGAATGAGTGAATACAGTGCTCTTGCCTTGAAGAAGGACAGAACTGTGTCTCTGTTTGGGGAGATCAGAAACAGTATTTCAAAGGGGTATCTGGGGAAAAGGATGATGGACCCCAACCCTTCTGGACCCCCCCACCTGTGTTCTAAATACTGAGTCGTCACAGGGGAGCTTTGTGGTCTGGGCGTAGTCGCCCGCGTCGTGGTGGACAGACCACGGGCCCTGGAGCGTGGAGACTCGTTTCCTCCTCGGTGACGTGCTCCCAGGACGACTGCCCAGCTCGTGCACCTCTGCACAGCAGGACGTGCGAACGTGGGTGCTCCTTCTCTCTGGGGAGCAGCCTGTGGGTGGGACGGCAGCTGGCAGTGGTCCCAAGGGTGCGCCCGAGGCTCAGATTGCTGGACGCAAACCCAGCCCCTCGGCCCACTGACTGTGATCTCAGGCAAATGACTGACCTCTGTGTGGCAGGCAGAGTAATGGCCCCCAAAGGGTCCACGTCCCAACCCCTGGAGCCCGTGAGTGTGCAATGCCCTGGGGCCCGAGAGGAACAAAGGACCCAGATGGCAGTATCAGCTGAGCTGAGCTGGACAGAGCAGCCTGGGGTACCCAGCTGGGCGGTGACATTCCGAGGGTCCCTAGTGAGAGAGGGGGGAGTGGAGGAAATGGGGAAGCAGGGTAGAGCAATGCCAGGCCCCGAAAGCTGGATCAGGCAGGGAGATGGGTTTCCCCAGAGCCTCCAATTTCCGAGCTTAATAAGTCACTTCATTCACGCTGTTTGAGGAACTGAGTCTGTGGCAACCTGCAGCAGCCACGAGCCACTGTTCCGCGCCACAGACTGTGGGCAGTAATCGTGCTGACTTGAACACCTACCTTACAGGAAGCAGGACGATCACTACTCGTAACAGCAACCTTACAGGGGGGTTGTTAGGATATAGGAGTCAGCAATGCCACACAGAGGCCAATCAAGACACCCGGGCTTTTCATCCACATGGGACTCCTTTCGCTAAAACTGGTGCAGAAAGTGAACAAGAACACACTTCCTAGGCTCTGAGCTACACTTTTGAAGACCTAGACCTGTCTTAGGGGATGAGTTCTGCGTGGACAGCCGGTGCTTTCGCAGGACTTACTGTCTCCGTTGGTGAGCGCACCGTTCTGGTCGCTGCTGGCGGGGGCGTCCGTGGCCAGGCTGGTCACTGACCGGCTGAACATCTCCTTGTCCGAAGGCTGCAAGAGAGACGCACCGCAGTCAGCGCTTGAGGGGCGTGCCCGGGCCTTGCTCTAGAAACTGAAGCTGCAACTAAAACCCACACCCCCTGCTTCAGTTTAAAGGAAGGGAAATTAAAGAAACTTCAGGTACTCAGTGTCCTCGGCACATTGCAAGTGCTCTGTGGCCACGTGTAGCTAGTGGCTCACAGATCAGACACAGGACATTGTCCCGGTGGGAAGGTCTGTTGGTGCCGCTCATCACAGCCACATCTAGCACAGCCTCATCCTTGGACCCCAGGTGCTATGAGACACTGCTCTTAAAAGTGAGCCACGCATGCGAAATGGGAAAGCACCACCCGCTGCCACCTGATCTGTCAACAACAGATAATGTCACTGACTTCTGAGACTGCATCAGCACCCGCCAGTCTCTGCTTCAAGGTTCACAAAACAGATGCAGAAAAGCAGGTCCGTAAACCCTTCTGCATCCACGAATTCAGTGCACGTGGAGGGAAGAATGGCCTTGGAGATGGAAGGTTTGCTGCTGGGCTCGAATGTGTAGGGACAGAGACTGATGTGCCAGGCTGAGCAGGGCCATGGGTGGTCAGCAAGGTGGTAGTTCATGAATTTCTGGTACCCGGCGGGTCCCATGGGGCAGCCCGAGCCACCGCCCACAGGCCTGTCCCCATCCGTCTGGAGGAATTCGTGGCCTGCAGGCCCCAGAGGCCACCCCGGGCCACTCCGGGTCCCCACGGAGAGTGCTGATGTAAAGAGCTCCGGAGGCCGGGCCCACTGGCCTTACATTCTGACTCCAGATTGGGAGCCACCTAATAGTAGAGAGCGAACAGCTCATGCTGCGTCATGATCCGAGAGCTCATTCAGCGAAGGGTGCCTAGGAGATGGGTCACTGTGTAAGGTGGCCAGGAACTCAGGAAACATGCTAATGTCCCAGAAGGAATGTAATACCTGGGCAGGTGTCAGGGGTGAGGGAAGAGGCAAGCCTCCCCGGTAACCATCTATCCTGGCTGAATTACCATAGCCTGGGCTCTACCCACCATCTCTACTCTTAGCTTCTAGCCGAATGAAACAACTGGAGATTGGGGCGTGGGTGTGAGACAAGGGTGAGGGGGTGGTGTTTTGAACCCGGGACGGCAGCGGGTGCACCTGAGCAGAGGCGAGGACACCCAGGGGCTCCGAGGACAGAGTCGGATGTTTCCTTTCTGCTGGGGAACACTTGCTGGGCAGTGTGACCGAGCCTGGAGGTGCCTGCTGTCTGCAGGCTTTACGCCCCCACACAGGCGGCTGCACTGCTGCCTGATCGTGATCGACCAGGTCAGGGACAGGAGGCATGTTCTCACTTCAGCACCGTGTGGGGTTCAGGCAGGACCCCGATGGAGTGGGCCCTGCAAACCCGAGTGGACACACCAGGCTGGACCAGGACAACAAGGGACCAGACCACTCAGGCCGCTCAGGGGGCTCCTCACCAGGTGGACCTGAGACACCCTCAGGGCTGGTCAGGACCCAGAAGACACCAAGGGCTGCAGAAAACCCAGTGAGGCCAGGGCACATCGAATGCCTGCTCCCAGGCTCTGGTGAGCTTGATGGTCAGCTGTTATGGGGTGAATTGTACCCTCCCCAAATTCCTGTGCTTAAGTCCCAGCCCCCGATATCTTAGGACATGACCTTATTTGGAAGCAGGTTCATTGCAGACGAAACCAGCTGAGATGAGGTCAGACTGGAGTCCTTGTAAAAAGGGGAAACTTGGACAGAGACAGCACACATGGCATGGAGAACACCACGTGACGATGGAGGCACTCAGGACACCAAAGATGACCAGCAAGTCACCATAAGCTGGGAGAGAGGCCTGGAAGAGATGTGCCCCCTGAACAAATCCGCTGACACCTTGATCTCTGCTTTCCAGCCTCCAGAGCTGTGAGACCATACATTTGATATTTAAGCTGCTCAGTTTGTGGCCCTTTGTTGCAACAGCCCTAGTTAACGAATAGGCAAGCTGGAGCTGGGCTGCTGCAATGATGAGCCCCCCCGCTGTAGGCTGGAGCTCTCTCGGGATCTTCCTGGCACCTGCACGACGTGCACCCACGTCAGAAACCCTCCCAGCACCCTGGCTGCTTGCACAGGCCTCCAGCCGCAGTGAGTCTGCACCTGCCGGAAGGAGCCAGCCAGGCAGCTGTGAACTCAGGCTGAGCTCTTTCTGGAAGGGACCCGTAAGCTTGTAGGAACATGCTTAGATGAATGCCTGGTGTTTGAAAACGCACACGCACAACTCGCACACACGTGCACACATGCAGACAGGCACACACACATTCATGTGCACACCGCGCAGACCTGCACACACATGCAGACACACACGTAGACAGATCCACATGCATGCGCGCGCACACACAGACGTGCACACCCGTGCACGCAAGCTCACCACGTTCATCAGGTTCTCGTGGTCTCCGCTGCACTGTCTTGGCTTCTTTTCTCTGAAACGGAAAATAAGAGGTCCCTGTGATACCAAACGTGCCTTCGAGAACACACACTCCCCTTTCCTACCCTACTGTTTATTAACATTTACATCTCTTTAAGAATCAAGTCTGTTAGCCCGACGGGCCCTCATCTCTCCTTGGCTGTGGGAGGGTCTGACGGGTTTGAGTCACAGCAGGGACCCGGCACCTCCTCCTCTCTCCTTCCTCCAGGGGTAGAAACGACAGGTTCTCAACAAGAGGACGGAGGCAGGGTGCTGAGTAGAAAATGACCATATCTAGAATACTGGAAGAGCAATGCCTTTTCTTAAAAAAAGAAGGAAAATCCAGACATCTCTTCTGTTTTCTCAACTTGGAGACTTTGCGAAGTCACACAGCAGTGGGACTCAGAAAATAATCAAATGAAATACAAATTTTGGCACGTTAGGAAGGGTGCATGCTTTTCGGATGAGTCATATGTATTTCCACTCTGTGGAAAAGTCCGTGAAGTAAAAATAGAATTTATTTTTACTCAGGACAGTCTAAAGAAAGCCATCAGTTCCAGAGTGTTTCCCAGGGATGTGTGAGGCAACGGCGCCACCTAGTGGGATACGCAACAACTACAGAGGCCGGTTCTCTCAGGCCCGGGGAACACACTGTCCATCCCTATAGCCTGGGCCCCAGTTGGGCAGGCAAGAGGGGGCTCGTGGGTTCAGAGAGTCCAGCTTTTCCCCTCTTGACAGAGACATTAGGGTAGGAAGCAATATCCAGACTCTTGAATGACACGTGAGTTTTTCCTGAGGTTACTGGAAGGGGCTGGGGGGCCTGCATTTGCTCCCAGCATATGGAGATTGAGTCTGAACACCCTGAAAATTACTCCTGGTTGAAAGAACCCTGCTTCTCTCTGACCAAAGATCTCTTTTTTGGGGGTACAGACCTTTTACACGAGTGAGACACAGAGGGAGAGAGAGAATGAGAGGAAGAGAGAAGGGAGAGAATTCTAAAAAAAGACAAGACGGTTATTTTATAAACAGCACGTTTCTCTTAGAGGAAAACTCATTAGCTTCTTAGGAAACTGGAGCTCAGTATTACAACTTCTGTCATACAGTGGTCCCTCCAGAGCCAGGCACGCGGACACTCCCAGGACCCCTCAAGCAGAAGCAAAGCGCCCTCCTCAGTGCGCAGCCGCCTGGATTTCCAAACGTCCACAGGAAGGACAATGGAAGCGACCAGGGCTCAAGAGAAAAGCAAGAAACTTCATTCTGGGAAGCTGCGTCTCTGGGGCTCTTCCGATTGCTCCCTGGCAAAATCAAATGTGGGTTTTCCCTCAGTTAACAGAACAGGGTTGGGACCCTTGGCAGAGGAGAAGTTAGTCCATCTGGACACATGCGTTTCTGTGACCGTCTATGCAGTGGGATCCTGTGTCCAACAGGCTTTTCTGTAAAGAGTCTGCTGGGGGCGAGAGCGTGTTGCTTTAAGATTCTAACAGACACATGTTGTCAGTTCTCACCTGTCACAGCTGGAGCACAGAAAGATGAGGAAGGTGATGAGGAAGAAAGTGGCAGCAGCTGCCAGACTTCCCCACAGGACGATCTGCATGTGTCCACTGCCCAGCAGGCTCCCGGAGGGTCCCATGGTGGGAGCAAAGGGGTGGCAACGGCTGGTGGTCAGTCAGTCCTTCAGAGCTGGTGACATCAGGGCCAAGGGCTGCGTCCGCCTGCAGAGAGACCAACCTGTTTGAAACAATGTCTCAGGTGACAAAGAGCCAGCATCTTGTAATTACTCTTGTTGGGAGGAAGGCTTTGCAGAGCCAGAGAGTTGCTCTGGACTTGACTGGATCTTTATTCCCTCGCTGTCCAAGCCTTTGTCACCTCACCTGAAAGTGTGAACTGGGAATGTCCAGGTGCCCGCACAGGTGTGAGGTGGTGGGTGTCTGATCATTCTGGTATGTTTGCGGATAGCTTCCTTAATGCCTTAAAATGAAGTAGGGCTCCAGGCACCCCACAGCAAACACATACATGTGTATTTGCACTCTTCCCCCCAGACAGCGTAAAGCATTTATTGTACAGCTTTCCCAGACACGAAGTTTGCATCGTCCCCACCTGTCTCCTGGCTCCCTGAACCTGCTTTCCTTCCAGAAGGTTTAAGGTCAGTGCAATTAATGAAATGGGATGTCTTTACAGTCACCCCGTAAACAGTGTCTCTTCCGAGTGTGTGACTGTATTTTCAGGGTCAGCTTTCACTACGCTTCTGTGAACAGTCCACAGGCACACTGTCAGGTGAATGGGAGAAAGTCTGTGCTGAGAAACGTCACCAGCAGTAGACGAGAATTTAGGAACGACGACCAATGAAGCATAAGAGCTGCAGTGAGTACATTTTAGCACCTGGCTCGTGCCCAGCCTCTGCTAAACGCTTTCTTCATTTAACTGCCACCCCAGCCTGTGGAGAAGGCACTCGCTGCTGACCCCCGTTTTTCAGAGGAGGACGCTGAATGGCAAAGACGATGAGTAAGTTCGCCCCAGGGTGTCACAGGTGCTGAGTGGCAGGTGAGGATGAGACCTGGTCTCTGACACTGTGGTCTTTGCCCCTAGAGGGCGCTCCACTCCCTTCCAGCCGACTTGCTTCTACAGGCAGAGGGTCAGATGAGCTTCCCCAACTATTTTAAGTTACAGATTTTGAGAAACAGAATCATATAATCAAATGAATGATGCTCTCTCACCAGAGAGGTCTTACTTGGAGAACATCTGCTTTGCTCAATTCTAGAACACTAATTTACAAGGAACAGCCTCTAACTCCATCTCAAGTATCAGGAATAAGGTAAGCAGATACATATTTTTGTCTTATAATAACGAGTCAAAACTCAAAAATGTTATATTCTGGAAAAAGCCTGCCTATGTTTCCATGCTCGTCTGCTTTGCTGGAAGCGCTGTCCCGTATTCCGCCACCTGGGCCATCCCGTCCAGCCCGCATGGACGGCTTCGCGGAGCTCAGAGAAATGGGGGATTGAAGCCATTTCCGCAAAGCTGGTTCAATGGGACCCTCTCCAGGTGAACTAGTTCTCATATGTTTGAATATTTAAGGTTGAGGAATAATAACAAAAACTGGAGAAAAGGAAAAAACAAAACAAAACCTGAATATACCTGCAATGGACACAGAATTCTAGAACACAAAGCGACTGTTTTCCTTAGCCCTTGAATCAACAGGAACACTTGTGATGTTCTCTAAATATATCAATGTACAACTTTCTGTTTGGTAGACACGGCGATCGTCCCACGGTGATTAGTAAACACTCTCTGCACAGTCACTGGTGGCCACAGTGCCCTGGCTCATCTGCCCCGGGCGGCGCTAAGGGAATGACCATCAACACCACTCCTCTTAGGGTTTGTTGAAACAATGAATCATTCACCGTAAACTCAGACGACAAACGGGCACCACAGTGAGTTATTAAAATACATTCAAGCAAGCACACGTCACGGCGACCTATGGACACATGTGAGATAAAGTTTCACGTCTGGGGGAGAGCACAGCACACGTGATCCGTCGTGCTTGCTCCCCTCTTCCTCCTCATCCATCCACACAGCAGAGTTCATCCATGTGTGCCAGACAGGGTTGCTGCCTGAGCTATTCCAAAGCCAGAGATGCACTCTGCAGCTACTGCGGGGTTTGTAGCACCCTCTCCATTTGTGCATGTTTCTCTTCTTCTCTCTCTAGCTCTCTCCATGGGGGAGGCCGACAGAGTATAATGAAATATGGGAGGTGCTGGCACAGTGTAGTGAGAAATGATGAAAGCTGATCAGTACAGGCTTCTGAATAAAGGCTGTAACTCAGAAGAATGTGTCGGAACTTCTGGTGCATTCCCCTTCAACTAGAATTGGCTGAGAAGCTACTGAAAGTATTTTTTTCCCCCAAAATTTCTCATCGTGGACAAAAATCTCACAGTGGAAAGAATCATGTTTCTGAGTTAAATACATTGTGATGTCCAAGGCCAAGGGTGCTTTCGCCTCCCAGAAGCCTCTAGTGAGGCTGGATAGACCAGGAGCCACACAGTCCAGTGGGGGTGGGGATGGGGCTGAGGCAGTTAGCTGCCCTGGGAGGGGCCACACACAGGTGACTGTGACCTCACCGGACACCTCCAGATTATCCCTATTTTGGAGGAAGTCTGTGCCCTGTTACTCTTCTCCCTGGTCTCTTTTTCGGAACTTCTGTTTCTATACTTTTGCAGTCTGTTCCTTCTCTGGTCATTGCCTACTTAAATTTTGGTGGCTTACCTACAGTTGAGACAAATCTACCCTCACCTATGTGTGTAGCTGAATTGTCCCTCCCCCATGTGTGTAGCTGGATTGACCCTCATGTGTGTAGCTGGATGGCCCCTCTCCAGGTGTGCAGATGGACTGATCCCCAGGTGTTAGCTCGACTGACCCCCAGGTGTGCAGATGAACAGATCCCCAGGTGTTAGCTCGACTGACCCCCAGGTGTGCAGATGGACTGATCCCCAGGAGTTAGCTGGACTGACCCCCAGATGTGCAGATGAACTGACCCCCAGGAGTTAGCTGGACTGACCCCCAGGTGTGCAGATGGACTGACCCCCAGGTGTGCAGATACACATATGTGGCTCCCATGTTCTTCCTTCGTGGTGGTGAGGACTACAGGCCTGCTGTGAATGGTCCGGGGCTTTCTTGGAAGGACAATGGCCTTTTCCCCAGGGCTGGGCCCTATGTGGTGTTCACTGAGATAAACAGAGTGCTCAGGTCCTGCTTTTGCTTTATTCTGGGCAGTGCCGGGATCAGTGTCTTTCCCATGGCTGGAAGGCTCCTCTCAGGATTAGAATAGAGGGGGAAAAAATAAGAAGACAGGTGGTACAGTTTCTGTGAAGTCAATTACCTGATAGGAAGGGCCCACCACAGCAAGGGGTGTTCCAGACCACACCCGGTGCCCTTTATCAACCTGGTGCCATGTGGAAAAGATAATCCAAGGCTGCAAATCCATGACACTGTTACTGCCCTGAGGACCATCCCATTTCATGCTGGTTCCTGTATCAGGCAAGATATTTTCTGACTCTCCAGAATGAATCCATACCAGCAGAAATACGTGAACAATGTGGGGTTCTCTCTCCTGATGTGTTCATGGTGATATTTCAGCCTGTATCTCTCAATCCTGTTCCTACCTGCCTCAATCCAACTGCTTTCAATTACAGACTATCCTCTCTTCAAAGTATAAAAAATATCCCCTTGTCAGGCCATGTGCATAAATATGTGATGAGTTATTCAGCAGAGGGCCAAGGGGCCCAGGCATCGCTCCTGCACTCACACTCATATGGCACCAATGCCCCACTCACGTGAGCAGCAGCAGGTGGGATTATTGATGCAACAGCACATTTAGTTTTAATAGTTGTACACCAATTCTTTCTGTTTCAGAACAGACTCCATTGTCGGCTGCATGGCTGGACAATCAGGACCGAGGCTAAAACTTAATACTAATGTGATATCGCTGCAATACATTCCCCATTTTGGTTCTATGTAATTTCAAACTACGCTGGGAACTCATGTGTGACCCTGAGAAAGGTAAGGATGTTGGACTTCTGTTTGGATCCTTTCAACAATTGGCCTGGATAATTATTTTGGGCTAAAATGTTGTGGAAGAAATTATGTTGCCCCATAAGCTCTTGTTCTTTCACACCCATTCATTTCATGACTTCAATCAAGATGTGGTTCAACCAGTAGAAAAGCCAAAGGCCTTGGACTTGGCAGGCAGCTGCATTTCAGCCACAAGGTGGCAGTATAAACGCGGTCCTCGGCCCAGAGCCCCAGGCCCTTCCAGGGACAGCTGTTCTGGCTGCCTGAATGCTCTATGCTCGTCATTTTAATTGTCTCCATCAACCCAGGCTCTCAGCCTCCAAAATCCACTCCGACAGGAAAGAAAACAGACACCAGACGAAATTAATGAAAGGTGCTGACCAACTGCAGCTATTTGTGTTTTCAGCCGAGCACTCTTGAGCAGGTAGGTGCTCGGATCCCGGGAAATTCTGTAAATAATAATTTGGCGGAGTCGGGTGGCTGCTGAGACGAGCTCCGGAGCAGAGACTTGGTCCCTTTGAAGCAGGTTTAGGTCAGTAGTGACTCACTCCCATTGCACAGCTGGCCAGGCCCGCCCATCATTGAGCAGGACAGAAACCACCTCCACTGTGACCTCGCCGACGGACCCAACCCACGGGAACTCCCCCTTCCTGGTCCTTCTCAGGCGTGGGAACCACACAGTCAAATGACGCTCTGAACCACAGAGTCACCAAACACGTTCAGCGTGGCGATGAGCCGGGTACTCCCGGGCTCCTGTCCTGGGGGCACCGGCCTGTCACAGGCCAACTGGCCTTTCCACCGAGCCCGAGGGTCTCCCGGGGGGGTTTAAGCTACAGCACTGAAATTCAGGTGGGTTTCTCTTCCGATTAAAGGCCAGCCTGCTACATTGCACTTGGTGACGAGGGCTGTGGTCAACACGGGAATGACCCAAGCAAATGTCTACTGTCCCCTCAGCTAAGGCATGAAGATTTTCTGCCAAATAAGGTCATTCCAATGACCTCCCAATGCCCTCCTTCCCTGAGTCAAGGGAAAGACACCCAAAGGGCAGAGGGCTCCAGGGTAAGACGTCCTGTTCCTAGTTTCCCGCGTCACTTTATAACAGCACCAGGGAGCAAGGTCTTGACGTTTCTTTCTGCAGCAGCTT